TTGTTTGTAATTAATATGCATTTGGTTTTTGTAATAAATGTGTATGTGATTTTTAGTTGTGTGTTCGCTATCGTTATTACTTGCTTTGGGGAGGAATAGTCTAATTTGTTGGTCTATAAGGTAGTTAGGGAAACCGTTGTTAATTAGTGTTTGTTTAACGTTGTTAAGTTCTTTGAGAAAGAGTCGTCGGGAGGATGAGTTCTGGTGGGCTCTATTTAGAAAGTTTTTTATTACAGCTATTTTGTACTTAAGTGGGCATTCGCTTTTGAAATTAAGGTGGCACGAGTTTTTGCTGGTGGGTTTTTTGTATAATGATGTAATGAAAGTGTTATTGTTGTGTTCAACGAGGATATCTAAGAATGGTAGTTTGTTTTTTTTGGCTAAGTTCATATGTAAAATTAAGGACGGAGTTTTTCTCAAATGTGCTCTTAAGTGTCTCTATTTCTTTAATGTTATCAGCTAAAATGAAGATATCGTCTACGTAGCGAACATAGATTTTCGGTTTGTGGACCTGTGTAAATATAGTATTTTCTACGTAGGACATATAATAGTTGGAGAAGCATGGACCCATGGATTAGTTTGGGTATAAATATTGCCATTATGGTCATAGAAGGGGACTTTGGTTGTGCATGCGTGTAGTAATTTTTTTAGGATGGGTGGTTTGATGGATGGCGGAGGGATGGAATTATTATTGTATACAGAGTTGAGGATAATATCGATAGTTTGGTCGACAGGGACGTTTGTAAATAAGTTTTCGACGTCCAGTGACGCTATTATACCTTGATTTGTTCCTTTTGTAGTTTTTAAAATTTGTAGGAATTCGTGGGTGGAGGTGATGCTGTAATTGGTAGGTAGGTATGGAGTGATGATGTCGTTAAGGAATTTTGATAGCTCGTAGATAGGTGTTGGTATCTGGGAAATAATTGGTCGTAGTGGGTATCCTGGTTTATGTGTTTTTATGTTTCCATATAGGTATCCCGGTTGGTAATCTCCAACTATTTTTTGAATTTTCAGGGAACCGACTTCCGCGTTGTGAGCTGTTATTAGCTTGTTAACGGACCTTTTTAAAGTCTCAGTGGGATTTCTTTTCAATTTGGTGAATTTAGATCGGTCATCGACAATATCTTTTAATTTTTGCTGGTAATCAGCTTTGTCAAGTATGACATATGTGTTAGATTTATCGGCTCGTCTGATGACAATGTCAGGGTTGTTTTTTAACTCTTTCGCAGCCTTTTTTAGTTTTGGTGTTTAAAAAGCAAAGCCACAATGTGCTAACCGTATTCGGAAACTAAAAACATCACTACCACACACTGAACATACACAGAACACACACACTCTACTAAGCTGATAATTGAATCATCCTTGGCTAAAGGTATAGCCGAAAGCGCTCGGAAACACAGAACATTCGGACAGTTCTTACACACTCTTTGTCCAGAAAAAGCTCTTGTCAGAACACAAGAAAAATTAAATAAAAAGCTCAACAGTAGTACCTTGTCTGTCGTAATGAAACATATTTTATATAAATATATATATATATATATATATATATATATATATATATATATTCTTGTTTCTATAAATATATATATATTCTTGTTTTATAATTATAAATTTCTGCTGCATTAGTTCTATGCAGCAGAAATTTATAGAAACAAGGATCTTTTCATTCATAACAGGTTCGGGGGTTTTTGTATATTATTTGAATTGTTTGCGACGATGGATTTCTCGCCAATTAAATCATTAACCTTTGCATTTGTTTTTGTGTGAATAATTCATGAATTTGTAAATTGATTGCACGTTTATCGAAATATATATATATATATATATATATATATATATATATATATATATATATTACAGGTAATCGATCCGTTGGGACATAATCCGGATAGATCTTAGTAATATTAATTATTAAAACTGATCCACAGAGAGCTCGATGTATTTATTATAACAGATGATATGTATTTTTTACAACAACAACAACAAAAAAAGAAAACAAACAAACAAAAATTACCTCAACATGGTGATAGGCTATTTCAAGCCAGTGTGTACGCAATGTTAGTCCTCCTCTGGTAGACGCCTTGTTAATGAGAATGGGATTGTGATAGCGACTGGTGGAGCACGTAAGGCATCTTATCCCGGGGGAAGCGGTCTGGGGTTGGAGTTTATTTACGGCTAGAGCCTTTCGTTGTTTGTAGCTAAATATCGGTTTGTATTATGTGACGATTCTTATACACACTATAGACACTACGGCAACAGGAGAGAGGTTGCAAACGAAACTCATCGATGGAAGCTCCATATCTGCATCTGTGACACTCACATAATTGCAGCCCAAGACAGATTGCGACTCCGACCCGAGTGCACTCATCATCTAGAAGGGTACCGGTAGATGAGGAGGGCACTGCGTTGAATCAGGCGCCATTATTTTGTTGTGACGGAGTGGCTCTTGCAGCGCGTCTGAAAGGCGATAGTTCGTGGTAATGATTTTCCATCATGGCGGCTGGCAGAGGATAGCAAAAAAAAAAAACAATAAATATAAAATAAAAATAAAAATAAAAATAAAAACACAAAAAAATGTTTTTGTTTATGGATACTTTGTCCAAATAAAAACTTTGTTTAGTTAATGATGATGGGGATGAGGGTGGAACAAACCAACCGAATTTTTTTTCTGTGTTATTTTTGCTGTATGCACCCTTACGCTGTCACGGTATGACGCTGTGAACCAAATTTTTATGGACATGTTACAGCTGCTGGACGGATGTGCCTTTAGTGTTTCTGCTATGGTAGACCAGAAACACGTGTAGTAAAATTATAGAAAATAAAGCATAATATTTTAAAAAAAAATCAACATTACAACCAAAAACGTTTGCGGTACCTCTATTCTTTTAATATATACACTTTTTCTCGTTGGAACCACTATAACCTCTTTTTATATATATATATATATATATATATATATATATATATATATATATATATATATATATATATATAAAAAATTCTCAGAGTTAACCTGTAGAAAAAAGACAATATTTATAAATGTAAAAGACAATAGGAAAACAGTTGTGACCGAACAAACTCCCAAACAAACGTACACAACAAATCGTGAAATCAAAAAAAAAATGGTTGAATCCGTCAACACAGCAATAATAACAATATCTCTACACGTGACAATAAAAAATTTTCAGTTAACAGTATGAAAATAGCGTTCTATAAATTCTTCCAGTTGCTAAGGACATTTTGTTTTTTGTTATTATTAGTTACTTTGTTTAAATAAATTCATTTCGTTTTTTGCCTTTCCACATTGGATGAAATGCGTCGGCAACTATGACAGTTTTCCTATTGTCTTTTACATTCACATTTATATAAAGGGTCACGACCGCTACTGTTTCTGTAAAGTCTCATCGTTTTACTGTTGATATTTTCAATTTTAAACAATATTTTGGATCGCTGTTATATATATATATATATATATATATATATATATATATATATATATATATATATATATATTTAAATAGTTTTTTGTGGTATATTTATATCTATATTTATAAGGCATAAAAGAAAAAAAACAACTGGTTTCGTTCCAGGACTTATCAAGTTTATTTTCTGGGAATAAAAAAATTATAAAACCGGTTGTTATTTTTGTTTTTTGTTTTTTGGCTTTTAAAAAAATTTTTATAAATTTGGTTT